GGGGGGGGGGGGGGGGAGGGAGAGGAGGGACGTGCCAATGGCCGCCCTTGAAAAGGCCGCAGAAAAGGTAATAGATATATCCGGGGTGTAAGAATGGACATAAGACTACTCGAACGCTATAAATGCTTTTATGGATCATAAAACGTCTTCCTTTACAACCAATAAAGAATCCTGACCTACGAATTTGACAGGCGAATGAGTGGACGAGTATGAGTAGAGACTGTGATCGCATATCAATCCGCAGAAATCACGTTTTACTGCTCAATAAAATCACGCAGTGTCGATACTTTACTTCCTCTTCATGGGACTACGAGTCGCGGGTTTATTGGATTATTGACCGATAGCACCGACAATGCATTCACGGGGAAAATGTGAATAGCCTGCCGACTCAGCGGTGCGCGTTTGTACGACCAACTCTAACACCGCTTGCGCGCCGGGAGCAGGAAGATCATGAGTTACTATATAGCTACGTCGATAAAAACAAACCATAAAGCGCATTACCGGCGATCATCGAACTACCGTGCAGTATATCCTGCTTGGTGGGTAGGAGCAATCTCTAAATTAAGTTATGTACCGATTGAGAGATCGGTAAGGTAGACGGAATATTGCCGACCGAGAAAATCCGATTTGTGCTGCCACCTACCATGAAGGCGGTTAAGTGGTTCGGAAATAAGTGCCTCGCGGAGTACTACACGGAAGGGGTGTCAAATCTTGAGTGGTATTTGGTCCTTTCTGCATGTTTTACGTACATTTACTGGAAATCGATTGTCGATGTGCGGTTTAGTGATTTTGTGTTAGAAAGTAGCGATAAATTGCCGCAGCGAGTGACGGTCGAATTCTAGAAAATAGGTGCCCACAACTTAACCACGCCCACAAGTGGAACGATGAAGCAGCCATAACTAACTAATCCGGAACCTTCCGAAACCAATAGATGGCATCGCTGTATCCTTCACCGTGACATACATACCATGCTATGTATAAAGCATGTTCAGTACGTTCTGATAGTACCGACAGCTTTTGAGTTTAAAACATGTTCGCAACTAAGTTAACAAAAGATACTATTTTTTAAGTAATTTTTTAAGAAATTACAAATTTCCGATTACATTGATTCGATGAATTAACCAATTAATTTTTTTTCTGTGACCTAGCGATGGATGTATACAAAAAATTTAAAGATGTGATAAAAGTTTAAATAGTAAAAGCTATAATAGAGCTATCGCTAGTATAGCTTTCCAAATCTTAAATATTGTATTATTCCATTACCATAACAAACGTTATGAGCGCTATTTGTACTTTGTGATGTATAGATATTTATGGATATTAGATTTCTATAATTTGCAGCTTATATTGCAATAGCATTGAAAGACAGAGCTAAATAAAATAAGTTTAAGTTACGGTCTTTTCTTTGTAATTTGTTACTTGGCAATCAATTATAATTGTAAGCATTTATTTAGTTTTATTTAAGGCTTACAAAATTCTGACATGAATAAAAATTAAGTAAAATTTGGAGAGAGTTATGAAAGATTGTAAATTAATAGGAGTATAAATTTTTTGTTATGTTTGTCTATTAGGTAAATTCTATAATATCTTAGTATAAAAAAATAAAAAAAATTTATTATAAAACTTTAAACGTTTCGAAATAGTATTTTTAAAACTGTAGCCATGATAATTTGAGAATGATTTATTCGATTAATTTAATATTTGATACAAATGTTTATTATAATTGTTCGTACTGGTTCATATAGGCTTTCCACAAATTTCAAAACTATTTTTTAGTTTTTATTTTATAAGTTCGAATTTTTCAGTAATAAGATTAAATTTGATTTTTATAATTATAATTTCACGAAAAAATTTTTTAAAATCTACTCCGTGAACCAAAAATTATAATCCGAATAAATAAAAAAAAAGTATTGATACTGATTTCAAATTACTTCTGTTAAGTTTTTAATATAAAATGATTGGAATTTTTATATCAATATATTATTAAATGTACTTAATAAACACACATAACAAAAAATTCATAGTTCTATTAATTTACAACTTTTTACACATTTTCCCAAATTTTATACTCTTGTCAGGGTTCTATAACCCCTGAATGGAACTAGTTATATAGCAACAACCAAATTGATCAAACTTGCGAAGCGTCTCTCGGTTTAAGCATAAAGTACCGTCATTATGTGCAAATGTATACCTGAGCAGTATTATTGATGCATGATTAAGTACGATTAAAAATGCAATGTAAACAATTTAGAACAAGATTTTCGTTTATAAAAAAATCTTTCAAGTGAAAACTATAGTATTATAAGAATATCTCTAAGAATATCCAATAATTATGTGATCAGAATAGCGTAACATTTATCGCATCATCTAAAGACGGTTATTGAAATATTTAATGATAAAAAGGCAATGACAACATGGGCCGCCACGATTACGCGATAGCAATAACGATTTTAAATATACGATTACTCCGACACGAACGATTAAATAAGCACAATTACATAAATATCATCGGTGGAGCGTTATTTAATCATGATTCAAGTGGCGTACAATTACAGTGCAATCCAGAGTTAATCGAGGAATCGCCTCGCTACCGTAATATTACGTGCAGTTGGAGGCAAAATTTATATTCGAACTTCTTCGTCGCTTGAAGTCACCGAAAAAGAGATATCAAACGCTCCAGTAGATTTCGAAGAATAAGAAGTTTCGCGCGCATGATTGAAAGTTTTCTACTTACAATGTTTCTTTTATATCGCGAGTATTTTCATTATTTGCAAAAATCAAAAACCCATGTGATAACTTTTTTTCTTACAACATTTGATATTCTAACTTTTGTATTATATTGTAAATAATAGTAAAACGTAACTTTCAGACTATGAAAAATATTCAATAAACGCCATTATTTTTTAATAATGGCGTTTATTGAATATTTTTCATAGTCTAGTCTATAGGTGCTTGTCTATAGGTGCTTGTTCCGATTAATGACTAAGTAATCTCATCATGAAAATCAATAAATAAATTAACAATGCACGTGTTAAGCTAAATACACAAAATTTATTTTGTTGGAAATCCTAAATATTTGCAATTTTGTGTTATATTTTTCTAATCACTTTATTTATAATATTTTCTCAAAAGTAGCTATAATGTACTATTTAATATGATGATAGTGCAGTTTTGTGACATAAGGTGAATATTTCAACCGCTTAAAGTTAAAGAATAACTAGACAAATCTAACAAATACAAAGTTTAAAAGAAATATGGCATAACAAAATTATAAGTAAAAATAGATGAAAATAGATGATATAATGTTCAACATTTTAATGAAAAAAGTTTTTTATATGAATTAATAGTTTTTGATATGAATTAATAGTTTTTGTGACAATTTTTGGAAGCCGCTAGAAAATCGTAGAAATTATTACGATAAGTACGTAGTGCTCTTTTTTAATAAAACAGTATCTAAATCTTTCTGTAGTTAACAATACAGATTTTCGTGTTAGAGAAAATTCTCCAGAAAGCCAAAATCGCGTATAATCGTTTCCCAAAGTTGATGTAGCACCTCTCAAAGGTATTTCTGATGTTACCTTCTTATAGTTTAGACACGGGCTGAATCGTAAATATCTGAGTGGCGGCGATGAATCTTGTGAAAGTGCAAAAAAGCGAGAACCTTTTTTTTTATAGTCAATATTACCTGAGTCGAACAATTCGAAGGGTCGTCTGTTTTTTGACACGAATGGACTATATTGTCCATTCGTGACAAAAAACACAAATTACGCAATGGATTTTCTAGGGCGATGATATAGTGAAGTTCGCGCTGTTTTCTTGGTATTTTTTTACCTGACTGCGCTTTCTATATATTTTTTTTTTCCTTTAAGTCAGCCGCCTTATGAGTTTTAGATTTATCGTTTTTATAATTTCATTTTCTTTTTTTTTTGGCAACTCTATAGGTGCTTGTTCTGATTAATGACTAAGTAATCTCATCATGAAAATCAATAAATAAATTAACAATGCACGTGTTAAGCTAAATACACAAAATTTATTTTGTTGGAAATCCTAAATATTTGCAATTTTGTGTTATATTTTTCTAATCACTTTATTTATAATATTTTCTCAAAAGTAGCTATAATGTACTATTTAATATGATGATAGTGCAGTTTTGTGACATAAGGTGAATATTTCAACCGCTTAAAGTTAAAGAATAACTAGACAAATCTAACAAATACAAAGTTTAAAAGAAATATGGCATAACAAAATTATAAGTAAAAATAGATGAAACTGGAATGATTTATTACTTTATGAACAATCATCATACAAACATCTAAATTTTGAGCAATAATATATGTCAGGATAAATATGAAGTTATATTACTGATTTGTGGAGAAAAATAGATGCAACTATCATTAATTGGGACACTAGTAATTAGTAGTTGAGACATTCACCTTACTCTACCTAATAGTTTTTCACTGTGTAGCTTCAAATAATTTGCTATACAAATCGTCGTAGTTTTTATTCTAAGCACTACTTGAAGCACATTACATAGATGAGTGTATGCAAATGTAATAGAACTGAGAATTTTTCTATTCTCCATCGGCGAAGAGAGACGATATAGACAGTAAACGCAAAGCAACATCTCAAGTTTGCGTCGTTGCTCGCTCCCTTGGGGTGCATGTTCAACGCCAGGTAAACACACGCAAACGGCATAACTTAGGAAATTATGAAGACACGTTTGCACGCGGTTTATCCTCATTAAGTCCGTCGACTAAGCTGAATTTTTAGACCAGTGTTGCTAACAGCTCCACTTTTGCTCTTAATAACGCTTTTTGGAATTCGTGTGACTATCATTTCTTTTACTGTGTAACACTTGATCCTAACTGTTGCACATCCGCTTCACTTTCTCGCAAACATGCTGGATCGCGATCACGATCGTGGGGACAAGCATAATAGCTGTCTTTCGGGAGAACAAGTTCTCGCCGAAAAAAGTTGTCATGAAAATCACTCACCTTTAATATAGCTGCGTACATTGCGGTGCTAGCAGAGGGTGGTGTGGATTGTTGGTAGGGTGGTCAGGGGGGCTCCGATGCAGGGCGTACCCCTAGTTACCCCCCTCTGGACCCCCGCCGCCCCCTTGCTGCTGATGCGCAGCCGCCGCCGCTGCTGCTGCTGCCGCTTTCTGCGCTTGCGCTTGCTTTTCTTGCTCGTTCAACTCTTTGATCGCCTGAATCTCCTTCTTCAACTTCATTCGCCGATTCTGGAACCAGATCTTGATTTGCCGTTCTGTCAGGCAGAGTGCGTGTGCCATCTCGATCCGCCTCCGCCTGGTGAGGTAGTGGTTCGTATGGAATTCCTTCTCCAGCTCCAGCGTCTGGTAGCGCGTGTAGGTCTGTCGTCCGCGCCTGCGCATTCCATTCGCTCCTGTAAACAACGAAATCAGAGTTGCGGCAGGCGTTCTTTGTTCTTTTCTCATGCTGTGTATGTCTAACGATTCCTGCAAGAATCGCATGTAAAGTAGCGATTGAACCGCGTGCGAATTAACCGCGCCGTCAATACTCACATCCCGAATCGTGCTTTGGCAGTCTAAGAAGCGTTGAAGTACTTTTTATTTTGTAAACGTTTAGATTGTGTGCCCTTGCGTGAAATTAATTAAAACATTTAAGATTTGAGTAGATTAATATAAAACCACGATAACGTTCTTTTTTTTTTATCAGTAACATAGCAAAATATATATGGTAATTTTCTTTAATAGAAACCGTGTGTGTGAAATTCGTTAGCTCGTTATTGCCACTCTTGCTGTTTATCTTGTTTTAAAACGTGCTGTTATCTTTATGCGACTACTTAATGTACATACTAAAACGATATTCTAATGAATTTCTGATATCCCGCGGTGCTTTTCAGCATGGATATCAGACGTAACAATATAGATGAGGCTGGTGACGATAAAGAAAATGCTTGAACGATTTGGAATATAGTATTTCAAGTATTCTATTCGGAACTGACGAGAGAAAGTAAGAGAGTGCACGACAACGAGTAGGTACTGTCAAGCAGTCACTTGGGTACAGTAGCAGAGTAAGTCTCGACGGTGGGAGCACAAGCTCACCTTATCGGCCATTACTGCCTCGTAAAAACCTTCCCGTTTCACCTTTGCAACCGGTATCCAACCTAAACTAACCCCTCTTGTCGGTCGTAAGCAGTCTCGCTTCTTTCTATTTTCACTTACATACGTCGGTAAATGTTGCATAATACTTGTACAAGGCTACGTACAATATTACGATTTCTTATGTGTTGACTTATCTTTTTTCTTAGTTACTTTAAGCTAATTTTAAACAATTACCTAAGGTATTGAAAGTTTATCAAGTACATATTTATAACTATATATAGGAGAAATGTAATTACACACGAAAGATTTTCTGCGCTATAAAGTAAGCGAATCTATTTCGGAACAGCACTTATTTCGAAATACTACAAGTTTTTTCCTGTATTAGCCGTCAAATAATATTAAATTTTCATGTTAGTAACAAAGAACATGTTCTTTGTTGAAATATGAAAATTTAATATTATTTGACGGCTAATACAGGAAAAAAATTATAGTGTTTCGAAATAGGTGCTGTTCCGAAATAGGTTCGCTTACTCTAACTCTCATTAGCATTACAATTTTTTTAGATTAATTAGAAAACATATAAAAACCAGATACTATTAGGATAAATTTGCTTATTTTATGAGCAATTAATTTGACTTGATTATTAATCAGTTGAGTAATTTCTTGTCCATTTTCAGTTCTTTTCTCGTTCAATAAATAGGTTTAGAGTTTGCACATCTTCCATGCTCAGTGTTTGCAGGAAAAGCATTAAATCTTGTAATTGGAAATCTAAATAATTTTATTTTTTAGTTACTAGATAAAAATTAACATAACTGTCCACAATAACTGCTAGATAAAGCGGTATTGAATTTCTACAAGGGATGTAGTAGATTTATTTCCAATATGCAAGTCTCACAAGTTTTAATTCCGAGACAAAATTTAGCTGTTCAATAAATTTGCTTCGAATTTATGTCCGTACTCCCCAATCCTTTACCAACAAAGAGTGTAAAGTTACACAATGCTAGATTTATGCGCACTCTGGCCAATTCCAGACGACCATTGTATCTACATCGTATCGGCACACTGAAATCGAGTTTATATCGGCGTGATGTTTATTATCGCGACGTAATCACAAGTGGCTTGCCAACCAAGCTACGATCCCTCTGCGTATCTCTTTTCGCCCTCTTTACCACCCTGCAATACCCCCATGATTCTCATTCCCGGTTGTCATGCTGGCGCAACACGGAGGGGCGAGGAATTACGACGTAGCATTTGTAACAGTTATTTGTCACGTGGATTCTGTCAAGTCTGATTCCTTTCCATCTCGTGATCTTTTTCCAACGAGTCGCCATAGCTTTAAAATTATCTGTGCATATTTTACTGACACACCCTGAATTTTTTAAAGCACATGCACGATAGTCTTAGATTTTACTGATTTCATAAAAAAAGATAAGACTATTACATTATCCATACATGTATCTGAAAAATGACACATTGCACGCATTCGTCGTATTTATTGTTACGTGGCATTTTCATTATGAGATTTTCGTAGAATTTTTGACACTTTTCCCAAGAATAATGATTTATATATAAAGAAATAAAGCGTAATAATCTTTTTTATTGCACTACTCATTTTTCCTTAAAATATATGTGGATACTTTAATGAAAAAAAAATATTTTTTATATATTTTTCTATATTCTTTATCTTCAAAAACTATTTTATTATATATTCAAATGTTATAAGATCGATTTTTAGAAATAATATTTTCTTTGCTCTATTCTTCTTTTTTAATTTATTTTATTTTCCGTTTTAAATATTTCTCAAATTCACCATTATTGCAACGTTTTTGTTATATAACATTTCAGTAATAGGATATCGTGAGCTAAGCGAAATTAGAAGATGGAATACCAAGATTATCGTACATCGCGTGAAGTAAGAAGAGGTGTATATGGCTGCTTAACCGAAGGGGTGGATAAATTTTATGCCGAGATCCTGAAACGATTTCATTTGGGGGAACAAAGAAAATCAGCAAGGCATATCAGGGGGATTGGTTGGCTGAAGAGCAAAGTGAGAAAACCGTGGAGCACGTTTAGAAAAGCGAAAAATATTTCGATCGTTATTCACGTCTTTCTTGAAAAATGCCTGCCCATATATTTCGGGAAATTTCAGCTGCAAGCAAGCCTTTATCCGACATATTCTTCTTTTAAAAGTCTGAACTAAAATAGAAAAGTTTAAAATATTGCACATTTTTTTTTATTATTTTACTATTTCTTAGATCTTTTCTATTAACGACGTTTTTAAAAACAATATTATTGTATAATAATTATTATTTTATATAATTTTGTATTCAAATCGCGCGTTTCATGTATTTACCTCGCGTTACAAAATGCTAATATTAAACAAAAAGAAAAAAATCCTAAGGAGCAATAAAAATGTTAAAATGGTAATATATATTTAAGAGAACATAAAACAACGACTTGTATGACTAAACTCAATTTTAACAAGTAATCCAAAACCTCTTTCGGCTCGTTAAGAACAGTTTCCAATGCGAACCGAAATGTCGGTTGAAAGGGATCTACCCAATGTCGATGTATTCGACCATAAACTGAGGCAGGGAGCGACTTAACTGGTTGCCAACTCTAATAAGAAGAGCCAATACATTGATTGCTGCTGGGGATTTGCCGGTATAACTTCGCAAAACACGATGCCAAAGTATCGGTATCCCTCACTCCTTTCCCGATTCCCTCCACTACGCACACGCATATACAGAGTCGGATCATATACGGGACCAATCAAATCAAAGTAAGTGAATTGGGTCCATGAAGGACTTCCCTTCTGAAATATTTCCTGTACGTTCACCCTCCCGAGTTTCTGCAACAGTTCTTGTACGTAAGACTAATGATATATTAATCGTGGTAAGCTATCATGTTTCCAAACTAAATAATGTTCAGTACCATTGCAAGGATACGTTGTATACACGATTTCCCAGAAACATGACCACGAAAATTAAGGAAATGGATATGACATAACGCGCATAAAATATACAATGCCTCTTTATATTAAGGAAATGTTGGGACGTCTATCGAACTCCGATGAGAAGGCACCCTATAGATAAAACTAAAAATGTCAATATTAACATCGGTACAGAACGAAAGATAAGAACATGATGTATTGGCATCTGTGAAACTAATCGACTACTTCACTTTATCTTGAGTGGAATTGCTTTGTTGTTAGTGGAGGCACACATATATCGAAATTTTTATACGAACTATTCTAATATCTTGTATCGTTGATTATGAAATTCAATGTTTTCAACATTCAGTTCTTTATACTGTTTATGTAGTAATAAAATCTTATTTTGTATGTATAAGTTACAGATCTCTTACACGAAGTAAATATTGCCACAAGTTTACACTTTAGTCGAAAGATAACAAGAAATAACATAGTATGTTAAAAAAATGGAACTCGGTTGGTAATGTAGAGGGAGCTTCAGCATCCCTTTAGGAATTAGTCGAATTGGATTCATCTCTTTCCTCTGTGTAATCTAGAACAATTTTCCATATCATTTGAAGCGGTACAATTCGTTCACGTGTCACCAGTTTCGGTCTTCCGGTGCTATTCGGAGCGCGCTCACGCCCTCGAGGAACCCTGTTTGCGCGCGGCACGGGAGTACCGGAGACACTTGGTATGAGGAACGCGTAGCTACGCAGCAAGATCGTAGCTCAACGTGGGATATACCCTCCTCCAGCCTTGCCAAGGTAGGTAGGTAATCCTCTCGGGGGCGTGAGTTACTGCCTAACGTCCCTCGCGCTTTACTCTCTTCTCTCCCACCTTCTCTACCGTACCTCTCCCTCCTATGGTTCCCCTCCTTTCTTGCTTTACCAGGACCTTCGTCTCGTTCCTGCCGGGACGTCTCCTCCTACCTACTCTCTTCTTACTCTCTTTCCTCTCTTAAGGGATGCCGAGAAAGCACTGGGAGAAAGTTGGAGGATGGCTGGCGGACGAAGGGAGAAGGTAGTAGGATGTTGCTACGTGGCACAGCTGGAACGCATTAGTCAACCGTAATTAATAAGTTATATACAACGGAGACTAACGAAGAGCGCGGCGTTACACTGCCACTACCGTTTCTCTTTTAGGGGAAAGACGACGCGGTCTTTCGGGGTGTGTGTGTGTGACGACGGAGACCTCAACAATCGTAAATATATGTTAAGACCTGATGGCATAAATAAACTAAGGGTTGACGCTCGCAAATGAGCAACAGAGAAGACACAATATTTCTTCTGTAGTTAGTTAGGAGTTGGCGGCAGCACCAAGTGGAGGGACAGACCGTTAAAGAGA